ATTCAAATTCACTGCTTTCCATTTGTGTTTATGTGTATACGTATTTTATATTAAAATCTTTGATTCAGTAGGATTTTCAAATAGTATTGAATATCTTCTATGTTCCAGAAACTATTCTAGATGCTGGAAATACATCAGTGGAAAAAAAACAGACTAATCCCTGCCTTAGTGGAGCTTACATGCTAAGTGAAGGAGACAGACATTAAATATAATAAATAAGTGTACTGTATAGTATGTTAGAAGGTACTAAGTACTATGGAAGAAAATAGAGTAGGTAAGGGTGATTGGGAAACCTTGGCATTGTTGAGAAGGTGACATTGGGCAAAAACTTGAAGGATGGGAAGGAGTGAGCCATGCATATATCTGGAGGAAGAGCATTCTAGGCAGAGAGAAAGCCAATGCAAGGACTGAGACAGAAGCAAACCTAATATGTTCAAGGATCTTTAAAAGACCAGTGTAGCTGGAGTGGAGTGACCAAAGGAGAGAGAAGGAGAAGATAAGGTCAGCCAGGAAAAGTGAGGAGGATACTTAAAAGGAAAAGGGTTATTTCTGGTTGGGAATGTGCCATAGATAGACTCCAGGAGACTAGTTAAGAGGCTGTGGCAGTAAGAAAGGTAAGAAGTGGTGATGCTTAGACAAGGATGGGAGCAGTAGAGGTAGTAAAAAGTGACTGGATTCCATCTAGATAAGTATTTGAAGGTACAGTCAATAGGATCTTTGTATGAGCCCTAATGTTTGACCTTAACATTTAAAAATCATGGTATCTATGGCCCTTTCTCTTAATATATAATTCAAGATGACCAAAGATTGTCATACTTATTTATTATGTCTTTTCTATTCTCATGTTTCTCTACAGAAGGGGGCTGACTTCTTATAAAAAATCCCATCTGAACTTTTTTTAGAAAAAAATCATTAGGCCCATTCTTCTTTTGAATGCTACTTTTCCTTCTCTAAAAACTAACTATAAATTATATTCTTTCATTCATCAGTTTCTTATTTCTTTGTCAAAAAATTAGCATTTTTTTCTGATTATGAAAGTACTTGATATTCATTATAAAAAAGAAAAAAACAAAATAGTCCAAAAAAGTAGGCAGTCTTTTTCATCTATGCCAGTATGGTGTCTTGGCTTTTATTTTAGTTTCTTTGATGACAGATAAAGCAGTAGAACACAGTTATTAAGAACTCGGATTCTGAACTTGACAAACTGTTGAACCTCTCTAAATCTCAATTTTCTCACTTGAAAATGGGCATATTTAATAGAACCTAATTTAAAGGTTTATCAGAAGGATTTAATGAGATCATGCAGAGAAAGTACATAACACTTAGCATGTTAACTGGCACGTGGTAGGCCCTAAATAACTGTTAGCTACAATTCTCATCTTTTGTAAATTGTCTTTCAGATAGTTTGCCCAGTTTTCTACTATAGTGTTTATCTTTTTAGTATTGATTTATTAGTACTATTTATTTATTACAGAACTCTAAGTGAGGATAATACCATTTGTCTTTCATTTGTCATAAATATTTTCCCCAGTTTGGTGTT